CAAATCACAAAGCATCCCCACCCTCCACCTTTGTGATTTGTGAATGCCACGTGTCATCCATCAGGACGGGTCTCATCTGCTAACCGTGAGACCTGGTCTCATATAATATTTTCCCACACCGTTGAATCGGACGGCTCATAAGCCGGCCGATGCGTAGCATACGCCCCATCTATATATGCCCCTGACTAGTGGATCCCGTTTGGGAAATTAGATGAAAAATTGTGTCACACAGGAATCGACCTGGTGCTGGCCATCACACCAACTCGTCTTGTTGACTATTCTAAGCCCCGAAACCTAATGTATGAAATGGAAAAGGCTGTGGTACTTTCTTTTGGCTAAAAGGACCTCTGATTTAAAGCATCCCAACAAGATAAGAAAATACACCCCTCGCAAACCAACCCTCTCCTCGAACCACTGCGGGCTGCCGGCGCGTCGTTGCTACCGCTGTCATCGCTCCCACACTGAGCTGCCGTGACCTTTGTATGCCCCACGCGTGGCAAGCAGCTGGTGCTCCAGACCATGGGCCATGCCTTCGCGGGGGTGGCTTCTTCAGCTTGCCATACCCAGAGGAGGCGGACGCGGGGGCGTCGGATTTGCTGGGGGTCAACGCGGCGCTGGTGTCGGCTGCGCCCGGCGTCCTGTCAAAGGAAATCCTAGAGGCAGAGCTCCCCCACCTCTTCGAGGGGGAGTGGGACTGGAAGGTGGCGTCGTTCGACGTGGACTGCTTCTTGGTGGCGTTCCCAGATCCGGCCTTGCTGCGGATGGTGACGCGCAGCGGCAAGCTGTTTCTCCCCATCAACAACATCATGGCAAACATTCGCGACGCGGTCCTTGCCGAGCCCAAGGCGTTGATGATGTCGGAGGTGTGGGTCAAGATGTGGAGCATCCCCCCGAAGCAGCAGCGCGCGGAGCATCTGATGGCGGCCACGACCATGATCGGGCGGCCCCTCGTGGTGGATGAGTTGTCCCTGATTCGCTCCGGCCCGGTGCGCATGCGTTTCGCGTGTCGTGTGCCGGCCAAGCTCCGGGGCTCCGTGCAAATCTGGTTCAACGGAGAAGGGTACAACATCAAGCTCGAGCCGGAGTTCGAGGCTCGCCCGGCGGCCCCTGCCCTCCCACCTCCTCCGCCTCCTTCCAGTGGCCGCGGGCCCGATGAGCAGGAGAAGGACAAGGATAAGGACAAGGATCATGAGCAGGATGCGAGCATGGAGGAGGACGACTCCATCGACACGGCGGCATGGGAAAAGCTTGGGATCTCCGCGCCAGGCCCTATTGCTCAGGTGGTTGGGGCAACGACGGCGAGGGCGGCTGAGGTGGGGGGATCGGTTGGGATGACAATCTCGATCCCCAACCAATATGGATCCAACCTGGGGTCGGTCTCCTCTCCCCCCATGGCGGCCACGGGTGCGGGTGGAGGTCTTTACCCACACAGCCTCTCCCCTGCTCCCTTGCGCCCCTGCCCGGCTGGGTCTCCTGCTTCTGGTGGCCGCGGCTCCACACTTAGAGGCTCGGTGAAGCCCATGAAGAAGACGGCGGTACGCAAGGTCAGCGCGGAGGCGGTGCGTGCGATGTAGACGATGGGGGTGAAGGAAATATGCCCTAGATGCAATAATAAAGTTATTATTTATTTCCTTATATCATGATAAATGTTTATTATTCATGCTAGAATTGTATTAACCGGAAACATAATACATGTGTGAATACATAGACCAACAGAGTGTCACTAGTATGCCTCTACTTGACTAGCTCGTTAATCAAA